CTCGAAATCTCATCATTAGCGCGGCAGTGTGCTGAAAGGTAAGGACGCACTTATGAGCATTTCTTGACACGAATATCGGAAAATGTTTCTTGTAAGTGTAGACGTTATCATCATTATTAAATTCATAGTGATTGAGCTTAATTTAAGACATTTATGCGTGTAGTTGCATTTAAACTGTATGTAGCTTATTTAGGAAACAAGACAAAAAAGTTGACTGTGTTAACGTAAAATTAAAATACTATATATTAGTAAAATGTTACTCCTTTGAAAAATATAGAGTTGAATTTACGTTATGGGACAGTGACTATATACAAGCGTTATATGTAATGGATATTCTGCCTTATTTAATTTATTTATAATTATGTTTCATTAGTTTAATTTAAAAAAAAAGCAAAGTACTACAATTGCCTCAGTTTATACTTTATGACGAATGATTATTATGTCGCAGAGGAAGTAATAATGGCTACACAAGTCCAGTTAACTACTTTTAAAAACAAGCATTAATCAAGATAAATACCACGTTATAACCTGATAGTGCTTGAATTTTTTTCCTCCATGATATCAATACCCGTGGATAGTCTTGAATTTATTTGCTCATATAAGAATGATTTTACATCAACAAATTCATTCTGAGCTTGAAATGCTACAAAAGTGACATATGGATATTATTTCCATTATGTTATAAAATATGTATCCCTGTAAAAGTAGCCATTCGCTGCTAATTATCCTTTTAATTATCTGTGACAGATTGCCAAAATGGCTGAACAAAGACAAATGTGAGTAACCTATGTATAATCTGAAAAAATCTTTTTGAAGATTGTTGATAGAGTTTCAAGATGTGGTGTGTCATTTACTAAATTTACATATGTTCTATTAACAGTCCTGAAGAAATGCAGGAATTACTGCGGCAAATGCACCGAACCACAACTCTGATCCTGGAGAGGGTGGTTCAATTTCCATCTCCAGCACAAAATTCCAGCCCTGCACCTGAGAGAAGTTGTATCTCTTCTGTCCCTACTGTGTCTCCACCAACTATATCACAG